TTTTCTGATCCACATAGAAGTATCAGGTTTCCTGGATTTTTTCTTGGCGATTTTACATTGAATCTCTGAGTAATATATTATTTACTGTATAATAAGTGACAGCAGCGATATTATTAATAACAATTTCTATTTTAAAACGGTGAATCGGTAAGCCAGTAGAAGGTCTCTATCAGATGATCAGAAGCTCTAGTGGCGGGTCATTGTACGACTAAGACCCGCATATACCTGGAGAGGGTTTCGGGGGTCAACGCCCCCGCGGCCCGGTCAGTGACAAACCCTCGCGGTGGATCAGCGCCTGATCAACCAGACTGTTACTGCTGGCCACACGTAAACTGACATACGAGCCACAGCCCGACTGGTCAGGTACTGACTTTAAGTGCTTGTCCAGTGCCTTCAAGACAGCCTGGGGTCTATTGGTAATCCCCTTTATGTATGCTGGAAGGTAGCTGAACAGTCTTGGGCCTCTGACATTTATTGTGTTGTCTCAGCGCCCATGCTTTTCATTGGGAGGATGATGTACTGCCTGCCGAGTCTTTTGCTTTCGTAGGGAGTGATTTTCTTGTGTAAATTTGGTACTAACCCGTCTAGGATTTTCCAGTTGTATATTATCATGTATCTTTCTCGCCTGCATTCCAGGGAATACAAGTCAAAGAACTTCAACCGTTCTCAGTAATTTAGGTGCTTTATCGTACTAAGTGTGCCGTGCAATTTCGCCTGCCTTGAAAGTCGCCTTTAGTGTACAGCAATATTCCAGCCTAGAGGCTGGAAACATTTGTCCTGTGTCCTGAAAAATCTTGCCTATACACACAGGAGAGAAAAGTTTATGGCGATGTTTCGGCCCGTCTTGGCCCATCCAAAGTTAGCGAGCTAGTATACACAGGCGAGGAGAACAGAGACGGGGGAGAAGACGAATAAGGAGTAGTGGTAGTGGAAAGTAGGGGAAGTAGTTATGGCACAAGAGATAGCAAGGGTGATGAAGGGGGCAATAGTAGTGGTAGTAATAGTGGTTGAAAAGGTAGAAGCAGTAATAGTGTAGGAATGATAGACGTAGTAGTAGTGGGGCAAGTCTAAGTAGCGATATTGATCAAATTATTGACTGTCGTAGCTGCAGGAAGGTAAAGAATAACTACATCTAACTAATGAAAGAGGAATTCCCTTATAATGATTATATGCTAAATCAGACTCGAGGGCTTAATTGAAATAATTATAGTTACAAGTGAAGTGGAAGATAATCATTACTCTCAGGACCTGATTACAGAACATAAATCTAATTAGGTCGACACTGGACAGATGCACTGGCTTACTGGTTCATAGACTGGCTTTCCATGGGTTTGTTAAGCTAAGTCTGTCATAGCTAGACAGTCCAGGAATAAGCATAAATATCACAGTGAATTACCTACTGGTAAATATCCACAAACGAATGGTTATTAATGACCACATTACATATATAATAATTACTTTTAATTACAACATGTAGTAATATTCTTTCATCATATAAATTATATAATATCCACAATTTTATCAGAAAATTTTAATTATATTTTATCTAAGCCTATTCGAATTTTAAATTTGCTAAGATAATTATTTACATTTATTTAACGCAAAAGACATAACTTTAAAGAAAAAAAAGGACTTGCTTGTCATGGGTTAGAGTCCCACCCGTTCTGTGTTCTCTTTTCTATCGTGTTATTACGATATCGCGAGTCATTTCTGTTATTTTTTGTCATCTAAGGAGTTTTGGCCGGTGGTTCCTCGTATCTTCAGCTTTACCTTGAGTTTCCAGGATTAACTTCTGCAATGACCAAATTATTTGTACAAGGAAGGAGAAACACCAATACAGGATAAAGAAATGCACCCAAAGCAGGAAGAAAAACTGAAAACAAACGAAAAACCTTCGTTGGATAAGAAAATAAGTGACATGACAACTACTTAAGATCACAAACTGGTTACAGAAAATTAAGATAAGGTTACTTACCATCGTCAATACAGGAAACAGACATTCACTCTAAATTCAACCAAAAATATGAAAGTTTTACTCGAAAGCTGATTGGTAGACAAGTGAAGACAATGGTACGACGCCGACACTTGTTGAAAAGGACACATAAGCAGTTGAGTCCTTTACTTGTGCAGTATTTCAGCCAACACTGAGATGTTTGTAGATATGAGAAACATTGTCTTAGTTCTCATGGAGTGGCTCCACATGCTAGTGTTACGTTCATAGCTGAGAGTGAACTGTTAATGAACAGAAGACACAATGACTCAGAAATCGTAATGACACGATTGCAAACAAACCATACCACGGGCGGGGTTAGAACCCGCGATCAGAGTGCCATAAAACTCCAGACGACGCAGTAGCCACTGGCTTGCGCGTCGGTCTGACTCTGATCGCGGGTTCTAACCCCGCCCATGGTTTGGCTTACAAGGCACAATACCGTGACTGGAACAATACACAACCCGCACATAGGAAAAAGAAGTTTATGACGACGTTTCGGTCCTCCTCTGACTATTTACAAGTCACACTGTCAAGCTGTTTGAGTGCAGGTGCAGCTGTGCTGGAGGTCACCTGGGCCAAACTAGGTTTAACACACTATGCAAGCATAGTAAACATCCCATTGTTGTGACTAAAAGAAACACCTACAGGTCTATCAGTGCTTAGACAACATCAATAACACCCGCGAGGAACATCACAACTGGCATCAGCACCTCAAGTCGAGAGACAAAGCTGAACTTCAGTACCAGGAACGGGATAAATGTAAAAACATGCCTGAAATTATGAGTTTTTAAGCAACATCAAGGAAAACAGAGGGATGTTTGGTATAAACCTTGGTAATTGATACCGACAAATTGGTTTAAAAAAACACTTGAAGAAACAATAGGGCATATTATTAAAAAGCGTTTCGGTCATAAGACCTTGATCGCTCCTAGAAGTGATCAAGGTCCCAGGACCGAAACGTTTTCTAATAAATATAACCTAGTGTTTCCTCACGTGTTTTTTAAACCAGCGAGATGTTTATATTTTGGGCTCCCATGGTGCATAGTGTATTATAAACCGAGCGTCAGGCAGGAGACCTGATGTGCTCCGGCCGGGTAAATATGCGCCTTGTGGACTATATAACCTACTATCTCTCTTTGGAATAAATGGTTTAAAAGACAGACAGGAGATAAATGAGACACTTGTGCAACAATTGAGTATATTCTGGAAACATTTTGCCAGCCAGTGGCTTCTTTAGTCCAACTTGGAAAGCCTAATTAGGGGGTAGGAGAATGTAATTGGAGTGATTTTATTTTTTTGGGGTCCAATTTCAATGAAATTTTTTCAGTGACTTAAACAGTGACTTTTTGCCTTAAAAGATAGAAAAAATAGAGCAAAATTCTATAGAGCATAGAACTCTCAATTTTCTACAAAATTGGGAAGATATACAATGCTCTAAATAACATCAGGTGAAAGATGATGGATAGACAATTTTTAACCCTATGCCGTTTGACTGAAAAATGTCAATAGCTTGCATAATAACAAATGTTTAAGTTTATTATTTTTTAATGATTTTTTGGGAGAAAAAAAAAATCTGTAAAAACAAAGCGGTAAAAATATTGCAAATCCCCAATGGGTACTAGTAGAATCATCGTTACTCAATAACGTATGCAAAAATCATGACACTCCTATAAATACTTTTCGCCAAAAAATGGAAAATAATGTCAACTTATTCCCGAGTTATACATATACGTACTAGATTTTTTGTAAAACTCTATGGTCATGACACGCCACATTTCAGTATGTTGCACACCTGAAATGTGACTGAGCTGTTATCACTCACTGCACTTGAATGGAGTCCTCAGAGAAGTTGCAACGTAGTGTATTTAGAATGAAACAATCATAAAAATCGTAATTTTTGGAGGAAAAAAAAAAAGAATTGGCATGTCTTTTTGATGACCACAAGAACAAAAAAAAAAACATTTTTTGAAAAACATACTTAGAAATATGATAGAAACAAGCTAAATACATCAACATGTTGCCAGAATTATGCACTATTTTTTCCCATAATTTTTCAATGTTCCTTTTTTATAACTCAAATAGCATTCTCCCACCCCTAATGTGTTTTGCATCGTTTTCAATGAGTGGATGAGGAGTTTAACTACAAAACTTACAAATATATCACGGGAAATGTAATTTATTGTGCAGTGTCATGCCAAATAAATATTAGTCAATTCCTATGTCTCGCTTTCACCCTAATTCAAGCAAACACTGACTTGTTGAAAATAATAATACCGACAACTTGAAGAGTAAGACACATGTGCAACAGTTGGGTAGCTTTGTTGTTGATAAGTAAGATATATGCAACAGATAGGTATGTTTATTCTGAAATGTTTTGCCTAACACTAGGCTTCTTCAGTTGAGTGCAGAAGAGTTAGATGTGAAGACGATGTAATCAGTCCTTCACCCTTGAAGACAAATTTTGAGGTGGTCAGTCCCTCAGCCTGGAGAAGAGTTTTTCTCCATAGTCTGGAACAGTGTGCAGTTAAAGCAACAGTGTAGTAACTTATAAACTGTCAAAAGGTGAGGCTCAGTACACTTCTCACTTGCATGAATGGATTTAATAATGATCTGATCTCTCAGTGATTACATTATTTCTTTCACTAGTGGCTGGCCTTACTTTGACAGTATATAAGCCTCCATACTGTTGCTTCAACTTCACATTGTTCGACTATGGAGCAAAGCTCTTCTCCAGGCTGAGGGACTGACCACCTCAGAACTACGTCTTCATGGGTGATGGACTGATTACATCGTCTTCACATCTTTACTGCTTCTGCTAACTCTTCTGAAGAAGCCTACTGTGTAGGCGAAACGTTTCAATCATCAATGAAGATACATGTATCTTAATCTTCGAACACCGATTTGTTTACATATATCTTTTTCCGTGTAGTTCTTCACAGCAAAATTAGATGCAATATAGCAACACATTTCATCAGTTTCTTTATTTAGTGTTTTCATTCCATTTCAGATTGTAACAGTGTCGAAAAGTGTTGCCATTATAACATGGATGAAGAACCATTCTGGAGGTGAACCTGCCGGCTACACTGTGCGTTACCACGTCAGTGATGCGCACAACTATGAGGTAAGTAAACCACCGCATCTCACTGACTAGACATTGCTGAGAAATACTGAAGAATAGAGTGTAAAGAACTAGAGTGACCTTTCATGGTTGTTTTATAGGATGCCGGATAATTATCTGTCGAGAAACCTCCGTGGGAATGGATAGTTTTGTACAGCCTAACAAGCTGCGATGTTTAGAGACCAGCAGGAAAATTTATTCAGCAATTCTTTGTGGATATGAGGCTTCGTGTTTCCACGTGTAATAAAAATATTATGATAGCAGTAAAGAATAAAATGACGGTTGTTTATTAGCAATGAAGAGAATAAGTGACGTTTTTCTAACCATGTTAAAAGACTGACATAGTAAAAGTTGTGAAAAATAAAGACTGATTATAATTTTGCCAAATTGGGATCCACAAGCGGCGCTATATGACCGTTACGGGTTTAGCGCTTTATGATTATAATGGAGTGCACTTTAAATATGGCGGATAGAACAAATAACTGAATATGGTAAGGGCGGTGAAGTCAAACGACGTAGAGGAACGAGAGAATACACCATAAGAGAAGTAGTCATATTTTTTTAGGATTTCAACGAAGACGATTAAAATGATCAATGTTTGTCACTGACGTCTTTGGATCTCTCCAGTTTACTGTGAGTAACAACAGATGTACAGCAGTCACTGACTTCATGGCTAATTTACCCTAGATTATATGTATGTCGTGCCGAATAGGTAAAACCTGGTCAGTTAACAAAAACTCATTTTAAATTAAGTCCTTTCTAAAATTTTCTCTCAGTCGTTTTAAACGTATTAGAGAAAATTTTAGAAAGGACTTAATTTTAAACGAGTTCTTACTAATTGACCAGTTTTACCTATTCGGCACGGCATATATATATATATATATATATATATATATATATATATATATATATATATATATATATATATATATATATATATATATATATATATATATTCTTTCAAGAAACCGGCCGCATCCCACCAAGGCAGGGTGGCCCAAAAAGAAAAACAAAAGTTTCTCTTTTCAAATTTAGTAATTTATAAAGGGGAAGGGGTTACTAGCTCCTTGCTCCCGGCATTTTAGTCGCCTCTTATAACACACATGGCTTACGGTGGAAGAATTCTGTTCCACTTCCCCATGGAGATAAGAGGAAATAAACAAGAACAAGAGCTAGAAAGAAGATATTAGAAAACCCAGAGGGGTGTGTATATGTATGCTTGTAAATGTATGTGTAGTGTGACCTAAGTGTAAGTAGAAGTAGCAAGAGGTACCTGAAATCTTGCATGTTTATGAGACAGAAAAAAGACACCAGCAATCCTACAGTCATGTAAAACAATTACAGGCTTTCATTTTAGAATCACTTGGCAGGACGGTAGTACCTCCCTGGGTGGTTGCTGTCTACCAACCTACTACCTACACACACACACACACACACACACACACACACACACACACACACACACACACACACACACACACACACACACACACACACACACACACACACATATATATATATATATATATATATATATATATATATATATATATATATATATATATATTACCGATGCACTATTAATTCCTAGCTTGTTTAATACACATATATTTTCTTTATTAAATGTGCTTCTGTGTCCTCAGTTTGTGGATATTGCCACCAGTAACTCGACGTCTACAACCATAAGGAATTTAACACCTGGCGCCGACTATTCCTTTGCTATTCTCGCCTACAACGAATATGGTCACTCCAACTTCAGTTCTCCTCCGATCAGGGCCACGTTGCTCGGTAAGTCACCAGCCGAGTGTCAGGGCCACGATGCTCGGTAAGTCACCAGCCGAGTGTCAGGGCCACGATGCTCGGTAAGTCACCAGCCGAGTGTCAGGGCCACGATGCTCGGTAAGTCACCAGCCGAGTGTCAGGGCCACGATGCTCGGTAAGTCACCAGCCGAGTGTCAGGGCCACGATGCTCGTAAGTCACCAGCCGAGTGTCAGGCCACGATGCTCGGTAAGTCACCAGCGAGTGTCAGGGCCACGATGCTCGGTAAGTCACCAGCCGAGTGTCAGGGCCACGATGCTCGGTAAGTCACCAGCCGAGTGTCGGAGCTTTGTATATCTGCATGATAAATTGGATGGCTCGTATATATATACATTGAAGATATTGATCGCGTAGCTACCGTAGATTTTATTTAACAAAGGTCTTTCTCGTTATTCTTCGTTTTCCGTTTATATATTTTTAATCTTGGTGAAACTGGTTGATTGGTTGACTGGATTTACAACCGACTGAATGTAAGATGGTCAATAAGGCTGCATATAACCTGTTCACCACTAGTAATAAATGCTTTAGTCAATAAAATAGTGGTTAAAGTGCTTTCATTATACTATATATACACCAAGTAATACACGGTGTATATATTTTTGAACGAGCTTCTGCATGTATATTTTAACTGTTTTATGAATGTGCACATTCAGAATTGTTTATTTTACAAATTTACATTCTGCATTTTGATTCACAGTTGCTTTGTATTTTTCTGTTTAAGTTTTGTTAAGTTTGGTTTTGTGCTCTGGTGGCCTGGTGGTTAACGCTCTCGCTTCACACGGCGAGGGCCCGGGTTCGATTCCCAGCCAGAGTAGAAACATTGGACGTGTTTCTTTCCACCTGTTGTCTATGTTCCCCATCAGTAAAATGGGTACCTGGTGTTAGTCGATGTGTGGGTCGCATTCCTGGACATGACCTAAGGAGGCCTGGTCACAGACCGGGCCGCGGGGGCGTTGACCCCCGGAACTCTCTCCAGATAAACTCTCCAGATAATACCAATATATTCACACAGGAATTCCCAAGTGAATTTCAGTTCAAGGGGAAATATTCGTAAACCATACCCCCGGCCGGGATTGAACCCGCGGTCATAGAGTCTCAAAACTCCAGCCCGTCGCGTTAGCCACTAGACCAGCTAGCCACAATAAGACTCTATGACCGCGGGTTCAATCCCGGCCGGGGGTATGGTTTATTTGCAATCGTGTCATTACGATTTCTTAAGTCAGAAATATTCGTACATAAACGTGAGGCAATGATACTGAAATTTTATTAAGGTTATGTTAGTTTCCAAAGAAATGTCAATAAATTAATCATTCTACTGAGCTTCATCTCCAAGTGATTCTGATGTTGTGTTTTTTTCTGTATGAGAAACAAACAAGCTTCAGTATTGTGACTTTCTCTTTACGTAACGTTAAACATCATGTGAAAATTTTTATGGGTTTACTGTGAATTTCTTGTGGATTATAGAGATAAAAGGTATAAAATACCAACATGGTATAATGCGACCCTTTATTGGTCACGTTTCGCCCATACAGTGGACTTTAATAAGTCACAAACAGATCTACCTGGGTAAAGAGTGCGTGAGTATATATAGTGTGGAGAGTCAGGTGGAGAATGTTGAGTAGGTTGTATTTGAGACTGACCTGCACGGGACGGGCGGGTGAGTATTAGAGATATATCGGATGTGAAAATTTAGATATCCACGGATGTGTTTGAAGATGTCTTACTTTGCGGATGTAAGAAATTGTGCGGATGTTCCGCGGATGTTGATGTGGTTGTAAGAAATTCTGCGGATGTTGATGTGGTTGTAAGAAATTCTGCGGATGTTATGGATGGATGCGGTGCTGGATAAGTAGGATAACATCATAGTGTGTATGGAGTATAGTGTATAACATGTGATAAAAGTTATCCGGGCCATGGAGTTCATTCTTGTTTATAACAATTGTTTTTGGAATTTTAAAATTAGCTTATCAGACCTGCCATAATATATGTCTTTTTATTCAGTAATACCAAATCATGGAGCAGTTTAAGTAACTTTGTAGATTTGTTTGTCATTAATGTTGTCTTTTTAATATATGTGATAAATTTAATTCTCTTTAGTAGGTACAGTTGTAAATACGGTATTGTGCCTTTTTGTTATTTATAGTTGTAAATAATTCTAAGTCGTCGGAACCAAGATCGCTCCAGCGAGTCGTTTTTATTGTGCTGAAGATCCTGAGTTACACCCTGAAGGAGAATTTATCTCGCCTTCTGGTTACTTATTAGCACAGTTAAACGTAAATTTACAAGGGGTCTCTGAGAGTTCTCTAAGCAAGGTCAGTGTGGTCCCTCAAGACTCTTCAAGGTCAGACAAGCGGGGGCCTCTCAGGGAGGACTCTTTAAGGTCAAGAAGGGTGGAATCTTAAAGGTCAGATAGGGAGATCTCTCATGGAGGCTTCTCAAGGACGTCTTTTCAATTCTCTTTTAAAAGTATGAAGGTAAGTAAGTAGGTCGTGAAGGTCAGTTAGGGAGGTCAGCCAGGAAGGTCAGTCATGGAGGCAAGTCAGGGAGGTCAGCCATGGAGACAAGTTAGGAAGGTCAATTATGGAGATAAGTCATGGAGGTCAATAATTCTAACCCTAAATAGAAGAGGAAGAAGACGTTAGATGAGTATAGGAACTCGTTATAACGTTCCTTCGTAAGTAATAAAAATAACCACTACCGTTTTAGGAGTCACACAAACTTAAGAGATAACGATGTTATCATTTTTCCTTCAGTCAGATGCTGGAAGAATAAACCTCGTTATGACTTCAAGGATTCTGAACGATCCTGAATTTTAGGAAGTGGTAGTGGCTATTTCCGTTGATTTTCGACATAATCTGCTGTGACAAAGTCTTGTCACAGGGATTTCCATTAGGTGGAACTTGGTACTGCAGTGTAGGCTGCGTGAGTTACACACGATTGCTAAAAAAAACAAAACACGGTATAGGTGGTGTTAGAACCCATGGCAAGTGAGTCGTAAAACTCTAGGCCGGTGCGTAAGCCGCTGGGCCACCTGGCTACAAGAAGATTCACCCAACTAGGTATATTTATACACTAACCTGTAGTGTATAAATATACCTAGTTGGATGAATCTTATTGTAGGCAGCTGACTCAGGGGCTTACGCACTGGCCTGGAGTTGTAAAACTCTATAGCCATGGGTTCTAACACCTCCTGTTCCGTGGTCAGGGTGCACGAGTTAGTAGGGTTCTCCCTCGGGCATGAGTAAATGTTTGCTGACTCGTATCTAAGTCCATGGACGTTTATTGTGCAAAAACTGTGTCACCTCCTCGTCACGGTATAGCATCAACGCCAGCACTGATGTTCATTGATTTTCCCTACTTTTTGACTAAGTCTTATAGATTATTGGTGAAATATTGGTGATATTGACTTTGGTTAAATTACTGAAATGGGTTTTGCTCGTTTGGTTAACTGGAAGTACAACACAGGGAAAAAAATGCAGGACAGAACACACCTAGGCAGACGAAAGGAAGACAGAGAAAAAGAAAAAAATGGGAAAGGAGAAGTAGGGAGAGGATGAGAAGAAAAGATCAGGTCAGGTCACGAGGGTTCTAAGGTAACTTCATTTTTCCTGCCAAGGTGTGTTTTGTCCTTCAATTTCCCCCTTCCCCCCTTCCCTGTGTCTTTGGTACCACCCTTGTGGGGCATTATTTCCCTGTGTTTTTCGTCCCACCATTGTGAGACATTATTTCCATGTATCTTTGGTCCCACCATTGTGAGACATTTCCCCGTGTCCTTGGTACCACCCCTGTGGGGAATTCTCTCTCTGGAAATGCAGTACATCTACAAAATCAAGTGTCGAATTAGAGTTGGTAAAGATCTCGGTTTTCTTAGTACAGTCCATAGTTATATTTAATTGACGAGCACTTTACTGATGGAGTTTATTCTTCCTCGGGAGATTCAGGAATGGAAGAAATCCTATGGACTCTTAATTTATAAGAATCCGAACATGATTCCACGCTTGGTCCCTCGTCATGATGGGAATAACAATGTACAAGTTCTCTTCTATTTGCTGTAGATTTTGAAATCAAGCGTGCGGCCAGCAATAACAGCCTGGTTGATCAGACCCTGATCCACGATGAGGCCTGGTCTCAGACCGAGCCGCGGGGGCGTTGACCCCCCAAACCCTCTCAAGGTAAATCCCAGGTAAGTGTATTGCCAACTTTTCCGCTCTCCCTTGTGTTGCCTTCCTCAGTGGTAAGCTTGATAGAGGACTCCACAGAATTCATGTTGATGAGGAGAGTCTTAGTGTTGACGTGTCTGGGATGTTGCTGAGATATAAACATACCTTAGTCATGTCACATGATGCAGGATGCAAATTTTCAGTCTCTTAGATATTCCACGTATATACGACTAATAATTGCACTGAAGACTGAGCCTGTTTCAAAAACAAAAAAAGACTGTTTAGGCTTGTAGTCTTCATGAAGAAAATAGTGTTAATTAGGTACCCCAGATGTGAATATTAAGAGATTGATTGAGTTTTCTTTTTTCCCCTCTTTTTCATTTCTCTGATTTTTAGATTTTATTTCGCTCGTAACTCGAGGGAGCCTCACGCAGTATGTATACGGTAACAAAGATCAGATACTGGAAATAATAGGAATATTCACGATCACAATGACCAGAGGAGTTGAACCCACTCCCAGCATCCTGGAATGGCTCGGATAACTTCAAAAACCCTCGATCGTTTGTAGCTACAAACGATCAAGGGTTCGGTCGTTCGTAGCTACAAAGGATCGAACACTGTGCCTTCTCCTTCGACGATGGAGGAGAGAGAGTCAAGTAGATGCAGGTTCGACCATTTATATGTAAAATATTGTTTCAGTTTAATTCTTCTGAACTTCTACAGTATTTAATGATTCATTCGTCTTAAGGTCAAGATAGTTGCCGTTAAGTTTTGTTTACGAGCAGCAAATTTGTTGATTTAATAAATATAGTAAAAAAAATGGAATCACTGGAAGCAATGCTATAACTGAAGAATCACTCTTCTGATAGGCTTCAAATTTTCACCACTGCTGTTTTTTTTTTTTTTTTTTTTTGACCAGAAGGCTCATGATGTTATTGGGTGGCATTAGTCCCACTTTTATTGAATAAATAGTGATATTCACTTTTACTCAATACCTAAAGAATGCTTCTCCTGGTTGGCTTCAAATTATCATATTCTATGAGAAGAATGATGCCTAATAAGTTCAGCCCGAGTAGCTGCAAATTTGGGGTTTTACTGAAGCGTTGGAATCAGTTACTGAAGAATGATTTTTCTTATCGGCTTCAAACGTTTACCACATCGCTTGTCACTCTGAGCTGTATAAATTTCAATTTGCACTTTTATTTAGTCACTTGTTTCCCATTTAATAAGTGAATGCCCCTTCTGATCGGCTTCAAACCCTGAAGGCTGATATATCTTAGTGTGAAGTATTTTGGTGTTAATTTTGGGCTGTGCCATATTTTTTTTTTCTGCTAATTTTCAAACTGTTTTAAAAAAAAGTCAACTTTCTAACTAATGCATAGAGAATCGGGAAACAACTTTCTCTCCTGACTGACTAGAAAAGAAAGTTATCCGAAAATCACGGTATTGCACACTTTCACTCACAGACATCCTTTTTTTCCAACTCTCCAGCTCTGTTTACCGAGTGTCACAGATCTTCCCAGACAATCAAGGGAACTATCTCATCAAGTTCACCGTATGTTGCTTGTCACATCGATCCTTAAGATAAGATAAGATTTCGTTCGGATTTTTAACCCCGGAGGGTTAGCCACCCAGGATAACCCAAGAAAGTCAGTGCGTCATCGAGGACTGTCTAACTTATTTCCATTGGCGTCCTTAATCTTGTCCCCCAGGATGCGACCCACACCAGTCGACTAACACCCAGGTACCTATTTGCTGCTAGGTGAACAGGACAACAGGTGCAAAGAAACGTGTCGAAATGTTTCCACACACCGGGAATCGAACCCGGGCCCTCCGTGTGTGAAGCGGGAGCTTTAGCCACCAGGCCACCGGGCCACCTGATGTTCGTCTGCAGCAGCACCTATAGTAAAAACAAAAAACTTTAACAAGTTACTGACGTTATGCAACAGCAGACCATGGCGGAACATGCCATGTTTGAGCATGAATATGTTTCCCATCCCTCTTTCTGTCACCGAACACGCTCTCAGATCAGGAAAAAATACAGGTTCGATGACAGCAAAGCCTAAAAAAAAGCCATGGTGAAGCCTAATTTTAACCTCGGCTTCACACATAATCCCTCACACCTCAGGTAGACACACTCGGAAATGCGTGCCGGTGGTGGTGGTCTTGTGATTGAAATCTTCGTGGGGTCGATATCGTTACAATATGACCACTGAGCTGCTGCTTGATTTTCAGCGTACGAGAGCGGTTGCCGGGCGTGTAATACGAGAAACTAAATGCATTTCTTGGCGGGATTATGTTTCTAAAGTCACTTCTGCTTCCTGTATGAATGTAGTTTGGAAAAAATGTTCAGAAATTAAGTGGGAGGTACAGATTCGGGTCCCGTTCTCAGTGTTGCTGTATCAACACTGAAAATACTACTGAGGTTGTAATTTTGTCCGTATCTCTCGGGGGGCTTCATCTATGCCCTCGTTTCTTTCCTCCAAGTCTAGCAGAGAGTTGCCGCCTTTACACAGAGAAGTCTTATAACCTTCTGGAACTTGAGTCAACACTTACCACTTGCTAGTCGTCGGCAGCTGGACCTGATGGTAATCCTATCAGTATGCACCAGCATTTACACCCGTCAGCCCTTTTTAATCTTCTTAATCTTATTTAGTAGCAAGGGTTTCTTCCCCATCCATGGAAAACTGCCGTGGTTCTGCCTTTTCTCAAACCGAGTACTTCGGGTCATGATGCCTCCGATTATCAACCAATCGCTCTTACTAGTGCAGTTTGCAGTCTGATGGAACGTCAAGTAAATAGACCTTTATTGTGGTATTTAGAGAGACACAATAGTCTTTCCACTCGTCAAAATAGGCTTTCGAAAAGGTTGCTGCACTATCGACCCCTTACTCCATTTAGATACCTTGTGTTCGTAATATCTTGGCTAGTAACCACAATCTGCCATTTTTCTTTAAAAACTTCTTGTCTGAGAGACATTTCCTTGTAGGGGTTGATAATCTGCTTTCCCTTGACTATATCCAGGCTGATATATCCTGGCCTCTGTTCTACGATCGAATATTTGGTCATCACTTGATGACTTTGTTATAGCTCGTGCAGGCGCTGACTGACACCTAGTAGCAGCCTCTCACCAGAATGATATCGCCCGTGTTCCACATGGGTTTACATTTTTCTGGTACTAAAATGCACCGCATTACATTTACTACACGTTCTGTTATCTCTGATACTCCGTTAAACCTGTATGGTTCCTGGATCCCTGAACGTGATACGGTCAGATTTCTCGGTTTTCTGTTTGATCACAGGCTGTCCTGGTAACCTCAGATTCCCTTCCTGAAAGCATTTTTCCCATAGCCGGTTGTACTCCTTAAGACCTTCGCTCATCTTTCATGGGATGAATAGTCGAACTCTCATCGGCTGCATTCAGCCCTAATTTTATCGAAACTAGACTATGGTGTCCAGATATATTATGCAGATATATTATGCTACCTCTCCCGCAATTCATTTTAAATTTGATCCCAACCATCATTAGGGATTACATTTTTGTCTAGGTTCTTTTTGTTCCTCACCTGCCGAGAGCCTGTATACAAAGGCTACGTGATGCTCATTGCCTCTGACATTTTGGCCTCTCTCATGACCTTCACGATCCTTCTACATGCATGATGGTAACGGATGTTAGTAGAGGGCCATTATTTGATCGTCGCCCCTATTTACTCCGTCCTTTTCTCTTCGTATTCACTTGCTCTTGACTTCTCTCCAGTTTTCCTTCCCCCTTGGGAGGTTCCGACAGTTCGAGTCTGGTCTTCCCCACTGCCGTCCACGAAAGCTCAAATACCTACAGTTGCTTCTCGCTCACTTTTTCTTAACCACTTCCGGTCTCATTCCCATGCAGTTTACATTGATGATTCTAAATCCTCTGACGGTGTCGGGTTTGCAGCAGTGTTCCAGGACAGTGTTGTACGAGGTCATTTATTAGACTCGGCTAGCATCTTCACAGCTGAACTGTATGCTATTCATATAGCGATTATCCGTATTGCGACCAGCCTACTTCAACAACTGTGGTAGTTTTAGACTCCTTTAGTGCTTTGAAGGCCATCAAAAAGTTTAAGTCGCTTCATCCCCTATTAGTTTGGTTCTTTGGTTGTGCCGTATTTCTAGGAAAAACAAAGAAATCGTTTCCTGCTGGGTCCCTGGTCATGTGGATGTTAAGGACAACGAGCAGGCAGAACACGTGGAACACGACATTCCAGTTTCATAAAAAGGTATTCCATTCTCAGACTATTTTGCTGTAATCTCTAGCTACTTTTGAAACCTTTGGCATCAACGTTGGTCTGAGTTTATTCATAACAAATTATATTGTCAAGACGGGTTTAGATTTCTGGTCTTCTTATCGATGTCGTGGTTGGGAGACTACACCCCGTCTTGGCATCGGGCACACACGTTTCACTCATGGGTATCTTACGGAGAGGCGCCCAGTTCCACTCTGTGCGAATCGTCAGGTTCCAATTTCAGTTTGCCACATTATATTGGACTGTCCTGTCTACCAGCGAGCTCGCAGAATATACCTTCGACGTCGTCACCTCTCTAACACTCTTACTTTATCTTGCCTCCTCGCTGACAGTCCCACCTTTGACACGGACTCCCTCTTTGATTTTTTGACAGCAACATATTTATTGCCCAACCTTTGATTATACTTCCTTTAGCACTCCTCACAGACCTTGCTAACTCTGCCTCCGTTATATTCTTCACCCTCGCTGGTCTCCGATCAAGCATATTACACATTTTAGCACACCCTACCCTACAGAGCTATATGAATCTTACGGGTTTAATTCTTAGTTACGATTATACTACTACTAATAATAACTGCACATACATTTTTTTGAAGATTTGTCAAACATTCTTAGATCACTAGTTGTGAACTACGAAAGATTTCTTATTGTGGATAAGAGTATATTATGCAGAACCGCATACCTCATCCTCACCTGATATACAATTCCTGTTGTATTTTGTAGGCGTTGTGGAAGAAGCAGCAAGCAGCAGCAGCAACATAGATAGCCAACAACCTCGGGTACCTCTACTGATGCTGCTACTCATCTCTCTGACGGCAGCGGCCCTTGTGGTTCTCAATGTTGCGATAATTGTGTGTTTCGTTAGAAGACTGGCTCTTAAAAGAAATATGTCAGGTAACGGAAGATTTATCTACCCAACTTGGAACGGGAAGAAGGAAGGATCCTATTGTGATATTGTAATAATGTTGGTACAATTACCGACAATAAGAAATCCTACTTAAAAAGGACACGGGTGAAACTAATGAGATATTGTGGCAACGTTTCGCTCTCCAGGAGCTTTGTCAAGTAAGAGCTTGCCAAAGCTCCTGGAGAGCGAAACGTTGCCACAATAAAATGTCTCATTAAGTTGCACATGTATCCTTTTGCCTAACGTATTATAAAATTCTTCGAATTTAAAATACAGCCACTTCGTCCCCCGAATTTCGAACCTTGAAATTAAATAATTATTTAACAATAGTAAATTCTAAAAACCTCATTTACATTTAGTGTCGTCGCTTCTCAAAATTAAAACACAACCTACACAATCTCTCCATATTTTAGACTCTGCTAAAGTACAGTAATTTAAATAACATTACAGTAGTCACCCTCGCGGGTGTAAACATCACGTACACGAGAGAAACATCAGAATATTGTTGCCTCTATAAACATCAGAGTATAGCAGTGTGTACACTGTACACTTTACTGCATCTACTAAAGTACACTTGATTTTAGTTGCATCATAATTTACTGAAAATTTAATGAAATACACTTTTACGTTAAAATTCGTAATTACGTTAATTTAAAAATCCTTAATACGGTTTTTATTTCTTTATTCGGTACAAATAATATAGTTAGCATGTAATAAAGTATTGGTAGACATAAAAAAAAAATTACTAATATGCAAGATATTTCAGGCAAACTAATCCTTATACTTAAATGCTACTTAAGAGATTTAGACAAACTATTAAGTAGGATTTCTTATGCAGTTAACTACAATAATTTCTTTTTGGACGCGACTCGAGCAAAAAAAATATTAAAAAAAATCTCAGACATATTTTTATTTGTTATTAATAATTTTATTTAATACTTCAGTAACGTCTCTAAAATTAAACCAATTTTTTAGTCATCTCTTCATTTGTTTTTCTTACATTTTCAAGCTTCTTCAAGCAAAACAACGGCTTTAGAGATTTATACTCCAACTTCTATAGCCACCGAAAACGGAGATGATCTTCCGTTAACTTCGTTTAACGAGGTTCCAGTCCAGGAATATAAGGTGAGAGTATTCAACGTGATGTTTATATTGGTGTGTCGTTTATCATAGCATCGTGATGCATGTTAATGAGAGTAACTTCTTAATTGTTATATATTTGAGATTTGCTTTAAAACCCACCAGAACGTTATCAAAATTCATTAGTATGCTTCACATAAACGAATCATTAACATATTTTAGTTATCCCAGTAAATTTTGTAAATATGGAACTTCAACTTACACATTCACACGATACCTGTGAAATAATTTACAAAGTATATCATACGATACTTAAGAAATAATTAACAAAGTGTATCATGCGATACTCATAAAATAATTAAGAATTATATTATTAAATCTGAACAGATTCAGTCAGTGTTCCCTTAAATATTGTCTTATCATTCTCTTAATCTCTCTTTTTCAGCCTCTAGAAAGCCAGACAAAAGAGGACTGTGAACAAACCAGCCTTATCAGCCCACATATCACTGTAGAACCACCTGACTCCTCCATCACTCCACCAGCTGCTACCAGTCCCAGGCCTAGAAGTATAAGCCCGTTACTCAATGAAGGGATAAGTGTCCAAAGTGATACATATATTCATGCAAATGATCAGTTGCCTTCTGATGGTCTGGGATCCAAAGCAATGTTTATAAGCTCTCCGAAGCTAGAGAAAAAGGCTTCCACGGAAGCGGCTGCTGGAGTGCGTTTAGACAAGCCGGATGTTTGCCCAGTGACCAGTAGCAGTTGTGAACATTTATTGGTGCATCAAAAGCCTTTTAATCCGTATTCAGAAGATGATCGAGAGTCTGTATCATCACATCACAGCAGCAGCTCTCAAAGTTACGTATCAAGGCAAACTCGCCCAAAATATTACTCTCCCTGCCATTCACCATCACGATTGACGTCTCACGTTATATATCATGGTCAGCCACACATCCAGCAACTAGTAGAGCAGCAGAACCAACAGCAGCAGTGGCAGCAGCAGCAGCAACATAAGCTGCAACAGCATAAGCTGCAGCTGCAGCAGCACGAGCACCATAATTATCAGCAAAACTTACCTTGTTGTCAACAAACGTCGCCTCATACGGACAAACAGATGACAGCCTTACACCCAGTATTGAATCCTGCAAGACTCTCACCGTCTACTGTCAGCTGTTGTGATGCCACATGCAACCAGTCATTTATTCAAGGTAATGAACTGTGATTAATAATCTCTTGTGGTTATTTTTTTTTTCAAGATATTTTGAAAGCTTTCTCGTTGACCCACCTACCTAGCAACTAATTTATTACCGACTCTAGATACAACCCACCAACTCCCACACACCCACCAACACTCCCACACACAACCCACCAACTCCCACACCCACCATCCCACCACTCCCACACACCACCAACTCCCACACATACCCACCAACTCCCACACACCCACCAACTCCCACAACACACCACCCCCAACTCCCACACACCACCAACTCCCACACACCCACCAACTCCCACACACCCACCAACTCCCACACACCCACCAACTCCCACACACCCACCAACTCCCACACACCCACCAACTCCCATACATCTTATATAAGATAAAAATAATGGAGGTACAGGGACCAATAGCTTCCATTATAACGTAAGACACCATATTAAAACATAGGCAGACTTATACACGAGCAGAGAAAAAACTGACAAATGAAGAGACGGAGACTAAAATGAAGGAAAACCAGATAGATTAGGAAGGAGTGATCAAAAATAAGGAGTGATCAAAAATAAGGAGTGATCAAAAATAAGGAGTGATCAAAAATAAAAAGGAGTGATCAAAAATAAGGAGTGATCAAAAATAAGGAGTGATCAAAAATAAGGAGTGATCAAAAATAAGGAGTGATCAAAAATAAGGAGTGATCAAAAATAAGGAGTGATCAAAAATAAGGAGTGATCAAAAATAAGGAGTGATCAAAAATCAAAAATAAGGAGTGATCAAAAATAAGGAGTGATCAAAAATAAGGAGTGATCAAAAATAAGGAGTGATCAAAAATAAGGAGTGATCAAAAATAAGGAGTGATCAAAAATAAGGAGTGATCAAAAATAAGGAGTGATCAAAATAAGGAGTGATCAAAAATAAGGAGTGATCAAAAATAAGGAGTGATCAAAAATAAGGAGTGATCAAAAATAAGGAGTGATCAAAATAAGGAGTGATCAAAAATAAGGAGTGATCAAAAATAAGGAGTGATCAAAAATAAAGAGTGATCAAAAATAAAGAGTGATCAAAAATAAGGAGTGATCAAAAATAAGGAGTGATCAAAAATAAGGAGTGATAAAAAATAAGGAGTGATAAAAAATAAGGAGTGATCAAAAATAAGGAGCGATAAAAAATAAGGAGTGATAAAAAATAAGGAGTGATCAAAAATAAGGAGTGATAAAAATGAGTGATAAAAAATAAGTGATAAATAAGGAGTGATAAAAAATAGTGATAAAAAATAGTGATAAAAAATAGTGATAAAAAATAGTGATAAAAAATAGTGATAAAAAATAGTGATAAAAAATAGTGATAAAAAATAAAATGATAAAAAATAGTGATAAAAAGTGAGTGATAAAAAATACGAGACACAAGTTTGGAAAGTATCAATACAACAAATACATCAAACTAAAAAAAAAATCAAACTCATATAACAAAGAGAAGAGAAGAAATAGTTCAGAAATTGGCTAAAAATGAGTAGAGATAAATCATAAATCACTTAAAAATAAGAATGATATAGACAAAGAAATTAATTATTTGGAAGAGTGCAAAAAAAATGGAAGATAATTACGTAGGAGTAACTAAGCAAAACATAGAATTAGAACATCAGTTCCATCGTGTTAACAGAAACTCAGGCAATGAGAGAAATTGTTGAAAAGGTACAAGCTAAAATTGTGGATAAATTTGCTACAATCATAACATAGAAGATTGAGACGAACAACAGAGTGTATTCTCAAAGGAAATTAATACTGAAGATAGAAAAGGAACTAGCTAAAAATAAGGATGATAAAGAGGAGAATAAAGGTCTGGAAGAGCTCAAAGCAAAATTAGAAGATAGTTATCCTGAATAACGAAAGAGAAGACATGTGTACTTAGGTATAGCTAACTCAGGATATCTTTGACCCTTGTGAGTTTAGCGCTTAGTTATTATTATAATTATCAGATTATCTCTGAATTTGTTATTAGAGAAGGAGAAGGGTAGGATGGAAGAGTGTAGAGCTAAAACTGAAGAATATAATACATAAGAACATAAGTAGCACTGCAGAAGGCCTACTGGCCCAAGCTAGTTAGGTCCAAGTCACACTCATTCATGTACTTGTTTAACCTTCTGTTTAGCATAAGAGTGGTAAAGATATTTACTAGTAAATCTTAATATTATTCTAGAATTAAAAAGGATTGAAAATTTTTTCTAGTAGAGATAAAAAAAAAGAAAATCGAGAAGAGAGTCAAAGAAAAAAAAAATAATATAGAAATGAGATTATGAAATGCAGTGAAAATTTCAGCATTCCAGAACATATTGTGAATTTTAAGGGTAATTGCAAAATGTGAGAGAGAAAATAAATCAGTCAAAATAACATTTACACAACTCAGAACTTTTCAAAGGAGTTATTATAGAGTAACACACTGGTCGTACCAGCTAAACTAATATTATTTACTTTCCCCAAGAAACCAGTACAGGATAGACAACAGTCAGACTAAAGGTAATGTCGTGAGATAAACACATGAAGGTTTTACTCTTTCAGTATTATTTTTTTAACATATCGGCCGTTTCACACCATGAGGGTGACCAGCAAAAGAAGAAACACTTTCATAATGATTCACTCCATCACTGTCTTACCAGAGGAGCACCTACGCTATAGTTAAAAAGTTGCAACACAACATCCCTCGTTGAGAGTGCAGGCAGTGTACTTCTCTCCTCCAGGACTCAAGTTCCGGCTACCGGGTTCCGTGAATCCCTTCATAAATGAAACCTTGCTCACACTCCAACACCACGTCAGTCATAAAAACCATTCGTCTCCACTTGGTCGTATCTAACGCGCTTGCTGGAAGTCCAAGCCCCTGTACGCGAAACCTCCTTTACCATCTCCCTCCAATCTTTCCTAGGACGCCCCCTACTCTGCCTTCCACTACAGATTTATATGCTCTTCAAATCTTTCTATTATGTTCCATCCTATCTAAATGTTCGAACAAACTCAACAGCCCTTCCTCTGCCCTCTGGATAATACTTCTGGAAACCCCGGACCTTCTAATCTCCAAGCCACACATTCTCTGCATAATATTCGCACCACACATAGCCCTCAGAACGCATCTCTCCACTACCTCCAGCCTTCTCCTTGTTGCAGCATTCACCACACAGAATTAAAAGTCCTATCTATACTGATTTTTTTCACAAAAAAAAATATGTAGTTCTCCAGAATAGTAGAGAATCTTTTTCTAATGTTAATGAGACCAAGAAGTGAAATTTAGTGGAAAATTTGTTGAATTGTGCAGGCGTGACGTTGCTCTCTCTGTGACCCTGACCCTTACGTTTTTAGCGCTTGGTTATGATTTTAATAATAATCGTAATAATAATAGTAATATTTGTGACCCAGCCAATCCAATTCTTAGCTATTTCGTTACTATTCATTGTATTTCTATATTAAAAATATACAGATGTGTTTGCAGATGATGCATAGATATTAGGGAAAATAAATATATAATAAAGGACCGAAATTCTCTACCGGAATGACCTGGAAATGTCAGTGATAGATGTGTATGCTTCATACATAGTTTTAAGAGTAGGTATGACAGAGCCAGGGAAGCTAGAAGGGAATCAGGTAAGTGGCAAGAGACAGGGCCAGCAGCTAATTCTCTCTCTCTCTCTCTCTCTCTCTCTCTCTCTCTCTCTCTCTCTTCTCTCTCTTTCGTTTTTTTTTTACACAGGGTTTGACAAGGTTAAGGATCCCTAGTTTTATTGGATTCAATATTGGCCTTGTACATAACAGTAAGGCCACCCACATCCCTCCTGTGTTGAAGGCTCTGCTGAACTTAGATCTATCCAGGATTGATCCAGGCGAGAGATGAGACGTCTTGCTCTGTTCTCTACTCTGTCAAGCAGTCGCAGATGATAAGAGGGGCAGTCGAACCAAGAAAGTGGAGCATACTCAAGGTGTGAGCGTACTTGTGCCTCATACAAAATCTTCCAACCCCTGCTGTCAAGCAGATGCGAGATACGGCGAAGTGCTGTAAGCTTCCTGGCTGCCTTGTTTGCAAGATTTACAACGTGGTTTTTCATGGTCAGTTTGGAGTCAAATTTCACCCCAAGGATATCAACTTCTTCTCCAGGTGCCAACACCCTCCCATTCATCCTTACTACTGCACCAGCATTGCCATCATGGTGCCTAGAGACCATCATCATTTGCGTTTTCTCAGGTGCAAATGTTACTTGCCATCTATTTCCCCAAGCTGATATAGCTCTTAGCTGGTGATTGATGTAGCTTAGTGCAGCTGGCATTTCTTCTCTTGGATAAGTGAATGTCAGTGTACAGTCGTCTGCATATGCATGGGATTCTGGGATGAGATGAAGAAGGTCGTTGAAGTAGACATTCCATAACAATGGTCCCAGCACGCTTCCTTGTGGAACACTTGCCCCAATAGGATGTCTTGCTGATTCCGTTCCATTGAGAACTACCCTTAGAGATCTACCATGAAGGTAATCACTGAGGAGACATAGCGTAGAGCCTGCAATTCCCAGTGCTTGAAGTTTTGCTAAGAGGCCCTGGTGCCACACCCGGTCGAAAGCACCAGCAATGTCCAGTGCTACTCTCCTCCTCTCTAATTCATTCTCGCTCTCTCTCTCTCTCTCTCTCTCTCTCTCTCTCTCTCTCTCTCTCTCTCTCTCTCTCTCTCTCTCTCTCTCTTTTACACAGGGTTTGACAAGGTTAAGGATCCCTAGCTGTATTGACAAGCTATTTACAGGTTAAGGATTCCTAACTTTATTGGCAAGCTAAGAGCTGTTACCTACATCAGCTCATTTGAAAGCATTTTTATTGTTATGAGACATACAAGTAGGGAACAGGATGAAATTGGAGCCATCTGTGGGCCACCATTTTCATTTGATCAACTGACTTTATCTCGTTGACATCATTATGCTGTACGAATGTGTTCCTTACTAGAGTCATCCTGGGTATATATGATCTCAGATGGAGTGATGTTCTGGAGAAGGGTACAGCCAGAGTTATGTTGCTGCTTTCTGCCCTTCTTGTGGCATAAAAGCTTGTTTCACGCTGTCCTCGAAGTGGATCCAAGTGTGGTACTTTGACAATATTGGCCTTGTACATAACGGTAAGGCCACCCACATCCCTCCTATGTTGAAGGCTCTGCTGAAATGACAGATCTATCCAGGATGGGTCCAGGCGAGAGATGAGACGTCTTGCTCTGTTCTCTACTCTGTCAAGCAGTCGCAGATGAGAGGGGGGGGGGGGCAGGCAAACCAAGAAAGTGGAGCATACTCAAGGTGTGAGCGTACTTGTGCCTCGTACAGAATCTTGCAACCCCTACTGTCAAGTAGATGCGAGATACGGCGAAGAGCTGTAAGCTTCCTGTCTGCCTTGTTTGCAAGATTTACAACATGGTTCTTCATGGTTAGTTTGGAGTCAGATTTCACCCCAAGGATATCAACTTCTTCTCTAAGTGCCAACACCCTCCCATTAATCCTTACTACTGCACCAGCATTACCATAATGGTGCCTAGAGACCATCATCATTTGCGTTTTCTCAGGTGCAAATGTTACTTGCCATCTATTTCCTCAAGCTGATATAACTCTCTGCTGGTGATTGATGTAGCTTAGAGCAGCTGGCATTTCTTCTCTTGGATAAGTGAATGTCAGTGTACAGTCGTCTGCATATGCATGTGATTCTGGGATGAGATGAAGAAGGTCGTTGAAGTAGACATTCCATAACAATGGTCCCAGCACGCTTCCTTGTGGAACACTTGCCCCAATAGGATGTCTTGCTGATTCCGTTCCATTAAGAACTACACTTGGAGATCTACCATGAAGGTAATCACTGAGGAGACATAGCGTAGAGCCTGCAATTCCCAGTGCTTGAAGTGTTGCTAAGAGGCCCTGGTGCCACACCCGGTCGAAAGCGCCAGCAATGTCCAGTGCTACCACACGGCTGACTTTGGATTCATCCAGTGACTGGTGCCACTTAGTGGAGAGGTTTAACAACAGATCAGCAGCAGAGTAACCTTTCCTGAAGCCATATTGACGATCACAAAGTAGTGAGTGATAGTCAAAAAACTGTCATTTGTCTTGAGGTTATTGTCTCAAGGATCTTACCAGTGACTGACAGGAGTGACACTGGTCTGTAGTTGCTGATTTCTGCTCTGCTCTTCTTTTTGTGAACAGGAACTACATTTGCCTCTTTCCATAGAGAAGGCCATTTACACTGTACTAGGCAGTGCTGAAAGGTGCGAGTTAGAGGTGCTGCTAGCTGGTCTGCACATCTCAGCAATCTTGGGCTCAACTTGTCTGGGTCCACAGTCTTTTCTTGGTCAAGCGATTTAAGAAGGAAATGCACCTCCTCCTGCCTTATTGTCACCACTGACAGTTTTGACACAGTTCTTGCAGCTAGCCAAGGAGGGTCCCTTGCTGGATCAGGAACTTCCTTTTTGGTAGCAAAGTGTTCGGCGAAGAGGTGCTCTCTCTCCTCTCTCTCCTCTCTTTCTCTCCCCTTCTCTCTCCCTTTCTCTTTCTTTCCCCTTCTCTTTCTCTCCCCATCTCTTTCTCTCTCTCTCTCTTTCTTTTACACAGGATTTGACAAGGTTCAGGATCTCTAGCTTTATTGACAAGCTATTTACAAGTTAAGGATTCCTAACTTTATTGACAAGCTAAGAGCTGTTATCTACATCAGCTCATTTGAAAGCATTTTTGTTATGAAACATACAAGTAGGGAACAGGATGAAGTTGGAGCCATCTGTGGGCCAGCATTTTCACCTGATCAACTGACTTTATCTCGTTGACATCATTATGATGTACGAATGTGTTGCATACTTGAGTCATCCTGGGGATAAATGATCTCAGATGAAGTGATGTTCTGGAGAAAGGTACAACCAGAGTGAAGTTGCCGCTTTCTGCCCGTCTTGTGGTATAGAAGCTTGTTTCTCGCTGTCCTCGAAGTAGATCCAATTGTGGTACTTTGACAATATTGGCCTTGTACATAACAGTAAGGCCACCCACATCCCTCCTTTGTTGAAGGCTCTGCTGAAATGACAGATCTATCCAGGATGGGTCCAAGCGAGAGATGAGGCGTCTTGCTCTGTTCTCTACTCTGTGAAGCAGTCGCAGATGAGAAGGAGGGCAGTCGAACCAAGAAAGTGGAGCATACTCAAGGTGTGAGCGTACTTGTGCCTCGTACAAAATCTTCCAACCCCTGCTATCAAGCAGATGCGAGATACGGCGAAGTGCTGTAAGCTTCCTGGCTGCCTTGTTTGCAAGATTTAGAACGTGGTTTTTCATGGTCAGTTTGGAGTCGAATTTCACCCCAAGGATATCAACCTCTTCTCCAGGTGCCAACACCCTCCCATTCATCCTTATTACTGCACCGGCATTACCATCATGGTGCCTGGAGATCATTTGTATTTTCTCAGGTGCAAATGCTGGCCCACAGATGGCTCCAACTTCATCCTGTTCCCTTCTTGTATGTTTCATAACAATAAAAATGCTTTCAAATGAGCTGATGTAGGTAATAGCTCTTAGCTTGTCAATAAAGTTAAGAATCCTTAACCTATAAATAGCTTTATCAATAAAGCTAGGAATTTAACCTAACCTTGTCAAACTCTGTAAAAAAATAGTATGTATGATTATGGAGATTATCAGAAGAATAGTAGTGGAACACCTGGGAAGGAGCAAATTCATAACCTGTACGATTGTTAAGAGGGTAAATCCAGTCTCGCAAATCTGCTACAGCTGTATGATAAGGTAGTGGAAGTCAGGGAGGCGAGAGGTGGGTAGATTGTATGAAGGCGTTCAATATTGTACTCAAACGAGACCGGCAATGAGCTAGGGTAGTGGGAAGGGATAATAGAGAAGGGATAACAGAGAAGGGATGACAGAGAAGGGATGACAGAGAAGGGATGACAGAGAAGGGATGACAGAGAAGGGATGACAGAGAAGGGATGACAGAGAAGGGATGACAGAGAAGGGATGACAGAGAAGGGATGACAGAAAAGGATGACAGAAAAGGGATGACAGAGAAGGGATGCAGAGAAGGGATGGCAGAGAAGGGATGGCAGAGAAGGGATGGCAGAGAAGGGATGGCAGAGAAGGGATGGCAGAGAAGGGATGGCAGAGAAGGATGGCAGAGAAGAGATGCAGAGAAGAGATGACAGAAAAGGGATGACAGAAAAGGGATGCAGAAAAGGGATGACAGAAAAGGGATGACAGAAAAGGGATGACAGAAAAGGGATGACAGTAAAGGGTTGACAGAGAAGGGTTGACAGAGAAGGGTTGACAGAGAAGGGTTGACAGAGAAGGGATGACAGAGAAGGGATGACAGAGAAGGGATGACAGAGAAGGGATGACAGAGAAGGGATAACAGAGAAGGGATAACAGAGAAGGGATAACAGAGAAGGGATAACAGAGAAGGGATAACAGAGAAGGGATAACAGAGAAGGGATAACAGAGAAGGGATAACAGAGAAGGGATAACAGAGAAGGGATAACAGAGAAGGGATAACAGAGAAGGGATAACATTGAAAGTATTACGGTAGATCAAGGAATACTTAACAGGAAAAACAGCCTGATGATGTTTGGGAAGCGGTGTAAGAATGGGCGAATGTGACGAGTAGGGCTCCACAAAGGTCAGTGCTTAGACCGATACTGTTTCCTTTGAAAGTAAACGAAATGATAAGACATAATCAAACAGGTCCCTATTTGCAGATGACGTGAAACTAATGAGTATGCAAATGAAGTCATTACAAAGAGATCGGGAGGAGCTGCAGGATTGGGATGACAATTGGCTATATGAATTTAATACCAACAAATGCACAGATATAAAAATCGGGAAAGGGCAAAGACGAGAAGAAACAGATTACAGACAGGGAGAAGTGAAGACTGGAAACTTTGCTGAAACAATGGATTTCAAGGTGAGCATACCTTCAAGCATCTCACCTGGGGTACACATCAACCAGAAAATCGGTACAGGAAACGCGAAACTGACAAGTTTTAGGAGAAGCTTTCAGAGCCTCGACAAAGAGGAATTTGCAATGGAGTATGCAGCACCAGTGTGGAACCCACAACTGATTAATCGAGCAATGAAGCAACGGGATTAGTCCCAGAGTTGAAGAGGTCTGAGCTATGTGGAGAGGCTAGAAGAGCTAAACCTGACGACAGAAGGACCAGGAGTGACATGATTACGATGTACAGAATACACACAGGAATTAACAGTGGACGGTGCGTCTGAGGGAAGGGTCTCAGGTACACAGCTGGAAGTTAAAAGCACAGATGAGTTTCAGGGATGTTAGGAAGTACTTCTGTAGCCTTATTGTGAACAGAAAATTAATTCACCTAGACAACTAAATGGTAAAGGTGGGATCCAAACATAGTTTTAAGAGTAGGTATGATAGGGCTCACGCATCCAGGAGAGTGAACCCAGTACCGACCTGCAACTATTAATAGATTCTTACAAATAGGCACACACAGAAATAGTCCCATTATATAAAGCGATACTCAGAAATCATTAAACTATTTGATGTCTGTTCTTTCACACCGACGATCTCCCACTAAGATACTGTGCTATCCCTTCCCTCCTCAAAAAAAAAAAATCCACCATCATTCAGTCAGTGTTTTGCCAGAAATGCTGACATTACAGTTCAGGTGACCATCGAAGCTGCAACATTCCCGTCCCTCCTTCAAAGTGAAACACTGTACGATTTTTCGGACTGTTTCTTGCTTCCCACCTCAACAACTCAAGTTGTGTGAAATCCCTTCATAAATGTTACCTTGCTCACACTTCAGCGACACGTCAAATCATGAAAATCGGTTGTCTCCACTCTTAACTGACACACTCACCCAAGCCCGTTGGATGTCCAAGCCCCCCCACATAAAACAACCTTTGCCCCATGTCATTGACCCTTCCTAGGACTACCCCTACCCCTCTCATCCCTCCACTCTAAAGTTATGCACCTTCCTAGTCATCCTATTTTGCTTCTTCGTCTTTACTTGTCCATACCATCTCAACAACTCCTCCTCAGGACTCTAAATAATATTTTTGGAAAAGCCACACCTTCTAATCTCCAAACTGATTTTTTTGCATAATCACACCACAAAAGACCCTCAGATAGGATATATCCACTGTCTGCAGCCTCCTCCTCGCTGCAACATTTAAAACTCATGTCTCACACCAGTGCAACCTTGCTCTAACTACAATACTCTGGTACATTACCCTATTTTGCCTCCATGGATAAGATTCTTTGTCAACACGGATGCCTCAACCACCCATCTTCCCCTTCCCCTTCCCCTTCAATGTTATAGATCGCCTATTTTTTAATAGACCCATCTCATAAGTCCACTCTCATATATGTGAACGCATTCACTGTCTCCATGCTCCCTCCTTCCAATCTGATATACGCTCTTCCATTACGTAGATTTTTTGTTACTCGCGTCACCTTGCTTTTTCCCATATTCACTTTTAATTTCCTTCTTTTACATACCCTCTCAAATTCGTCTACCAACTTCTCTTCAGAATTTCCCAACCGAACCGTGTAATCTGCAAAAAGCAAGTGTGACAGCTGCCACTTTGTGTACGAATCTTTATCTTTTAATCCAGTACCTCTCCCCCACACCTGAGTATTCACTTTAAAAGCTCATCTATAAATATGTTAAATAATCTCTAAGGCTTACTTTTCAACACACACCAACCCTCCCCCCCCCCCCCCCTTTTTCTGTCGTCTGTCTTTCCGTCCTCTCTCTCCTCTCTCTCTCTCCTCACTCTCTCCTCTCTCTCTCTCTCTCCTTTCTCTCTCTCTCTCCTCTCTCCTCTCTCCTCTCTCTCCTCCCCTCCCCCTCTCCCCACCCACCTTTACCCCTACCTTTCCAGAACATTGTATTACTCTAACCAACACACACCACTCTAACCACACACACCACCTTAACCAACACACCCCTCACTCTAACCAACACACACCCACTCTACCACACACACCACTCTAACCAACCCACCCACTCTAACCAACACACACCACTCTAACCAACACGCACCACTCTAACCAACCCACACCCTCTAACCAACACGCACACCCTCTAACCACACGCACCACTCAACCAACACGCCCCCACTCTAACCACACGCACCACTCTAACCAACACCACCACTCAACCAACACGCACCACTCTAACCAACCACACCCACTCTAACCAACCCACCCACTCTAACCAACACACCCCACTCTAACCAACACACACCCCCCCTCTACCAACACCACCACTCTAACCAACACGCCACCACCAACCAACACAACAAACCCCACTAACCAACACACAACCATCTACCAACACACACCACTCTAACCAACACCACACCACTCTAACCAACACCACCACTCTAACCAACACACACCACTCTAACCAACACGCACCACTCTAACCAACACGCACCACTCTAACCAACACGCACCACTCTAACCAACACGCACCACTCTAACCAAAACGCACCACTCTAACCAACACACACCACTCTAACCAACACACACCACTCTAACCAACACCACCACTAACCAACACACACCACTCTAACCAACACACACCACTCTAACCAACCCACCACTCTAACCAACACACACCACACTAACCAACACACACCACTCTAACCAACACACAAACCCCTCTAACCAACACACACCACCTAACCAACACACACCACCTAACCAACACACACCACTCTGCCCAACACACCCCCACTCTAACCAACACGCACCACTTTTAACCCAACACGCACCACTCTAACCAACACGCACCACTCTAACCAACACCACCACTCTAACCAACACACACCACTCTAACCAACACACACCACTCTAACCAACACACACCACTCTAACCAACACACACCACTCTAACCAACACCACCACTCTAACCAACACGCACCACTCTAACCAACACACACCACTCTAACCAACACACACCACTCTAACCAACACACACCACTCTAACCAACACACACCACTCTAACCAACACACAAACCCCTCTAACCAACACGCACCACTCTAACCAACACCACCACTCTAACCAACACACACCACTCTAACCAGCACGCACCACTCTAACCAACACGCACCACTCTAACCAACACGCACCACTCTAACCAACACGTCACCACTCTAACCAACACACGCCACTCAACCAACACACGCCACTCCAACCAACACACACCACACTCTAACCAACAAAAAGCCACTCTAACCAACACACGCCACTCCAACCAACACACACCACTCCAACCAACACACAACCACTCCAACCAACCCCACTCCACTCCAACCAACACACACCACTCTAACCAACACACACCATCCAACCAACACACACCACTCCAACCAACACACACCACTCCAACCAACACACACCACTCCAACCAACACCACCACTCCAACCAACACACACCACTCTAACCAACACACAAACCCCTCTAACCAACACACCACCACCTAACCAACACACACACCACTCTAACCAACACACACCCACTCTAAACCAACTTTCACCACTCTAACCAACTACACCACCTAACCAACACACACCACTCAACCAACACACACCACTCTAACCAACACACACCACCCAACCAACACACACCACTCCAACCAACACACACCACTCCAACCAAAACACACCACTCTAACCAACACACACCACTCTAACCAACACACACCACCCACCTAACCACAAAAACACACCACTCTAACCAACACACAACACCACTCTAACCAACTCACACCACTCTAACCAACACACACCACCTAACCAACACACACCACTCTAACCAACACACACCACTCTAACCAACACACACCACGCTAACCAACACACACCCCGCTAACCAAAACACACCACTCTAACCAACACACACCCCTCTAACCAACACACAACACCCCCTCTAACCAACACACACACCACTCTAACCAACACAAAACACCACTCTAAAACCCAAAACACACACCACTCTAACCAACACACACACCACTCTAACCAACACACCAAACCCCTCTAAACCAAACACCCACTCTAACCAACACACACCACTCTAACCAACACACACCACTCTAAAACCCAAAACACACCACTCTAACCAACACACACCACTCTAACCAACACACACCACTCTAACCAACACACCCCCACTCTAACCACACACACCACTCTAACCAACACACACACCACTCTAACCAAACACACACACCACTCTAACCAACACACACACCACTCTAACCAACCACACCACTCCCAACCAACACACACCACTCTAACCAACACACACCACTCTAACCAACACCGCCACTCTAACCAACACGCGCCACTCTAACCAACACGCGCCACTCTAAACCAACACCACCACTCAACCAACACGCGCCACTCTAACCAACACGCGCCACTCTAACCAACACACGCCACTCTAACCAACACACGCCACTCCAACCCCAAAAACAACCACCCCCAACCAACACACACCACTCTAACCAACACACTCCACTCCAACCAACACACTCCACTCTAACCAACACACCCCCACTCAAACCAACACACACCACTCTAACCAAACACACAACCACTCTAACCAACACACACCACTCTAACCAACACACACCACTCTAACCAACACACACCACTCTAACCAACACACACCACCTAACCAACACAACACCACTCAACCAACACACACCACTCTAACCAACACACACCACCTAACCAACACACACCACTCTAACCAACACACACCACTCTAACCAAAACACACCACTCAACCAACACACACCACCTCTAACCAACACACACCACTCTAACCAACACACACCACTCTAAACCCAAAACACACCACTCTAACCAAACACACACCACCTAACCAACACACACCACTCTAAACCAACCCCCCACCACTCTAACCAACACACACCACTCTAACCAACACACACCACTCTAAAAAACAACCCCACCACCACAAGTTTTGAATAACTGAGCAAGACAAAGTAAAACTCAGGTAATCTGTCACATCAGAACAATTTTCAAAGGTAATAACTCAGGAGATCTGGCACTATCATGACCAAGTTACAAAGGGA